TCCTCTCTCTCTCTCTCTCTCTCTATATATATATATATATATATGATCTAATGAGAAATTGGTTGAATTTCTTGTGTATATAGGGGTTTGCCCCTTGATAATTGTAATTGTACGTATTGGTTATTCTTTTGATTAAAATTCTAGCTCTATTACCTCAAGGAACAAATTGTTAATGGTTAATATACTTTAGTCTGGAGTTATGCATTTTTCTATATCTAATTTCTCATGGGGGACTGGGGGTACAGGTGTTTGAATTAGCTATGCACGTTGGATGCATGGGAGATGGTGAAATTTTGGTCATAGCCAATAGGTTTCGCCTAAGAAATACAAGTTCAAAACTAGATAGAGTTGGAGTGGATATAGGGAATTGACAGAGCTATTGGTGAAAGGAGGGATATTGGATGAATTGTTTTGTTAACTTAAGAAATGGGTTTTGTTGGCAGATTTTTCAAGACATGATCTATTCAAGCATACATAGGTTGACATTGTGTTCAATTGAGTGGATTGGATTGTTACATTTGGTAAACTTCATTTTGGCCATAATGGGCAACACTACTGGAATTGTGAAATTTTGAGATAGTGGGAGTTGGGTCATATAGAAAAAATATTTTACTATTTAGATATATCTATCTAAATAAGTAAAAAAATTATTCAAAATTTTAAAAATATTCATTTAAAAAAAAAACTCAATTTTGGAAAAGATTTAATTCAGAAAACTAACTGATTATTTTCTTTTCAATTGCGTTGTGTTTGTCTCCAACCAAACACAACATTCGTGTCCAACTTGAACTGTAAAATTTATTTCAGACCAGTTCCATGTATAGATTTTGAGGTCCTAGTTTCATCCTACGCTAAAGGTGTATTGGTTCCTCCATTACAACAACGAGACCCACTCAACCATACCTTCATATTGACTTCCCAAGTTGGATCAACCAATTCTCTAATTTCTCTCAAACTCCGATCTCCAACTCCACCGGCACTGTCACTCGCCGATCTCCGATCGACCACAACACGAAACCCTAGCTCTCACTGTTTCGACTGCTGAACAGTTTGAAGCTAAACCCCATGACACGCCAGTACTTTGACCAGACCATTTTCAGATCTGCAAAGAATTGGTGTGTATAGGTCTTGTATTTGGTTTTTGAATTTTCGATTTTGAATCGAAATGGCATCGAGGAATAGAACCATATTGTTCAAAAAGTACAGAGATGCGTTGAAAAGCGTTCGTGTTCCATCGGGTTCTTCACCGTCGACTTCTGGTGGTCCGGTGATTGAATTGTCGACCACTTCGCTTCTCAATTCCAACCGCTCTCGCTCTTATGCTCCCCTCAGTACTGAAGATCCAGGAAGCTCCGGGTACAGCTTCCCCTCTCTCTCTTTCTATATATATATATGATCTAATAAGAAATTGGTTGAATTTCTTGTGTATATAGGGGTTTGCCCCTTGATAATTGTAATTGTACGTATTGCTTATTCTTTTGATTAAAATTCTAGCTCTATTACCTCAAGGAACAAATTGTTAATGGTTAATATACTTTAGTCTGGAGTTATGCATTTTTCTATATCTAATTTCTCATGGGGGACTGGGGGTACAGGTGTTTGAATTAGCTATGCACGTTGGATGCATGGGAGATGGTGAAATTTTGGTTATAGCCAATAGGTTTTGCCTAAGAAATACAAGTTCAAACCTAGAGTTGCAGTGGATTTAAGGAATTGACAGAGCTATTGGTGAAAGGAGTGATATTGGATGAATTGTTTTGTTAACTTAAGAAATGGGTTTTGTTGGCAGATTTTTCAAGACATGATCTATTCAAGCATACATAGGTTGACATTGTGTTCAATTGAGTGGATTGGATTGTTACATTTGGTAAACTTCATTTTGGCCATAATGGGCAACACTACTGGAATTGTGAAATTTTGAGATAGTGGGAGTTGGGTCATATAGAAGGAAAAAGATTTAGTGACTTGTGATTTTAATGTCTTTTTTTTTGCAATATGCGCTATCATAGATCATGTTATTGCAGGTGTCTGTGTAACAAAGTCTGTGCTTTGTGGCTCCATAAAGATGAGATCTAGTTTTAGAGGTTGAATTACCTTCAACATCTTAGATTAAATTGCATCTTTGAGGATGGTTTCCCAAGTGGTGGTTCAGTTAGGGTGGAAAACACTATATTTGATAAATGATTGAGGCGGCTTGTATCAAAGATTTGATGCATTAGGTTTAGTTGAGGAGGAGTTAAAAAGGTTTTGTTCGTTGATAGAGGAAGCTTCTGTGCAAGGTTTTGAAAAGCGGTTGCGGTCGCCGTAACAGTTGCGGGGTGTAAAGGGTATAGCGTAACGGTTGCGGTAATTGGAACTGTGAATTTTTTTTTTTAATTTTTTGCACAATTTTAAGAAAATTTACCACGCTTATTTTTTTTTTTTCTTTTCAGAATCACATTTATTAGGATTTAAAATAAATTTTGATCAATTTTTGTTAATTTTTAAGTATGATCCAAGATATTTCATATTTTCAAGTCACTATAAAAGGAGTTTTTTACATTTTATTTCAATAGTTAATGATTTTAAGATAATTGATTTTAGATATTTATAAATTATTTTTTACCAATACCTGAATTAACTGAATAAAAAATATTCACAATTATTAAATAAAAGGATTTTGAAATAAAAATTGTGTCATAAATTTAAAAAAAAAATTATAAAGAAAAAGAAATTTATATAAGATTTTTTCTTTGGGTTTAGATCATTTGAGTATTTATTCTTTTTTTGTAAGCTCTTTTATTTATTTATTTTATAGAAAAGAAAGCTATTCAGAATATTATAAAAGGATGTAACGGTGTCTAACAGACCGTTACGGTACCACTACGACTGTTACGTAATACCGAAACGGTCGTTACATATATGAATTTCTGCCACACCGCTATAGCGGCCGTAACAGGTGGCGATAATCACTACAACCGTTACATAACAGTTGCGGCCGCTTTTTAAAACCTTACTTTCATGCTTTTTGATTGAGGGTATTATTGTTGTACCGGGGATTGAATGAGGGGCCTCTCAAATCGCCGGGGGGGGGGGGCGGAGAGGGGTAGGTTGGCAAGTGTTCGTTCATTTGCATCCCAGAGTCAGAGGTGGTAAGGAAATTTTGGGTTTTCGAAAACTAGCGGACGTCTGCAGGGGTTGTGTTGGTCGTTCGTTCCAACAAGTAGTCGACGATAGAGATTGGTCAAGGAACATTGGTTTTGTTTGATTTTATATAAGGGACGGATATGAAGGTTGTCCGGATATAAAATCTGGTGGGGCCTACATGTGTTTTTTGGTCTTCCCTTGTCCCATGTTTGGTTACTTTGGATATAGGGTGTTTGGATATTATATACCCCAAAAGGGTGGGATATACAATACCCCACCCCCCCTTCCCCTCACATGTTATTGGCTATCCCTCACCATTGGATATAGGTTAATCATTCATCCAACGGTAAAAGATAAGCACTCTTCTCTTATCCCATGCTATAACTTACTCTAACCAAACATAGTAAAATTGACTCCACAGTATATATAATTCATCTCATATCCTAAACACATTATATCCCATTCTATATCCCTATGTTCTCCTCACCCTCTTAAATCCAATCTGGATAATAAAATAGGGCCACTGTTTAGTTATCTAAGGGTGGTAGCTTACCCTTATTAAGAGTACCTTGTCTAGCCTTCCCACCTATTTGATGTATCTACACAGTACTCCAGCTTTGGTCATGAGGAGGCATGAAAAGCTACAATAGGACTTTTGGTGGGTGGAGTAGGGAAGGGGTTTAAGAATCATCTTGTGGATTGGGTCCTTGTGCGCACTCTGATAAGGGAAGGGGGTTTATTTTAGGGATTAGTAAGTGGGCAATTTCAATAAAGCTGGAAAGTGGTTATTGAGACATGCTTCCGAGAGGGATAGATTTTGGAGGAGGATGGTGAGGAAAAAACTATGGCAGATATTGGGGTAATTGGATATGTTGGAAGTGTTGATTTTTGATGGATGAGGGCTTTAGAGTTTAGAAGATTAGCTTCTTCTTCATTTTTTTTTTTTTTTGAAGGGTGGCGAGGGGCGATAGGATAAAGTTTTGGCATCATAAGTGGTGTGGAGATGAGGTGTTGGACAAGGCTTTCCCTTTCATTTTTCTTCTTACTATTGACAAAGAAGCCTTGGTGGTGGATTATGTGTGGGGAATGGGCATGGATGGCTTTTGAGATGTTGCATTTTGAAGGAGTTTGCAAGATTGGGAAATGGGCTCAGCTGACTAATCTTTTGAATTTGCTTTATAGGTGTAGGGGCTTTGGTAAAGGGAAACACTCAACGTGGTGGCATGTATCCAAGAGAGGGAGGATTGATGTTGGTTATCGAGTAGTAGAAGGGTGAATTTTCCATGGAAAGCATTTGGACTGTCAGGCCTTTGTCCACAGTTGCATTCTTTGTTTGGAATGCGGAACATGAGAAGATCCTTTCAATTGATAATCTTGTCAAGAGAGGGAAGATAATGGTAAATTAGTGTTGCCTATGATGGGGAGTCAATTACTCATATGCTAATTCATTGCAAGGTGTCCAGGGAACCGTGGGAGTTGGGTTTGATTGTGTTTACAATGGAGTTTGTTTTTTCATAGAGAGATGTGGTGGGGATAATTTTCAACTGGTGGGGAGGTAGGGTAGGGAAACATAGACACAAGACTTGGCTGCTCTATTGTGCTTGATGTGATTTCTGTGGTGCGAGCAAAATAGGAGGGTCTTCCAGGGAGTTAAGGAGCCTCTTTATGGGCTTAAAAGTTTTTGGTTGTGTGTGTGTGTGTCTATACTTTGGAGTTGGGTCTTTGGAAAGGTGATGCCTAATCTTTAGTAATACATTTATCAAAGAAAATGTTGATGTCAAAATTAGACGTGGAAACGTCACATAAATGCAAAATAATACTCTTTTGGAGTTATGTCCATTTACATGAAAAATTAAGTTTCCTATGTTCAATTAAGGTTTAATGCTGTAATTAGGGTATTGTTTTAACTAATTTTTTTGTAGCATGACATTCCATTCAACTAAATTTATAGCGTAAAAACAACTCTATAAAATTGAAGTTATTATGGATAGTATATTAATATTATCATAGAAGTCCCTACAAATAGTAAAAGGACATCATTAAGTGTTGGTCTTGCCAATATGGGGTGTTGAGGGGGTTGGATCGGTAAGAGCTTACTCTTGAAATTAGTTTTACAAATTGGCTGAATGGAGTTCCACCATCTATATTTTCCACAAAAGTTTAATTTCTTTTGTGATTTACTTAAAAAGGAAAAAGAAAGGTACAGTGGTGTCTTGCAACAGTCTTGTGATATTTCCCTTGATGAAATTTAATATGCTATTGATACGCATAACCACATCAATTCCATTTTAAGTTCTAATTAGAAATTTCAAATTTTCTGTCTTTTTTTTTTTATATTATTTTTTATTATGAAAAATCAAAATTGAACCCAATTGTTCTCTGTTAAGATATAACGACCTTGGTTATATACTTGGAAGTTTCATATAAATAAATATGTAACTATAATAGCAAATTCAATTTGTGTATAGAATTTTGAAAATTAAACTTTAACAGTTAGACACTTCTAGTGTATTTATCCAAAAAAAGAAGAAGAAAAGACCCTTCTAGTGTAGAGCACATAAAGGGTTGAGTTGAGTTGAATCTCAGTTATTAGAGAATGCTAACATTCTATTCTTGTGTTTGAATTTTGGAATGCAAGTTTTAGAACATGGATATTTCTTTTGTAGAAGACCAAATTTATTGATTGATTCTTACTAGGCATCGAAAATTAAGTAAGCTTAGACTAAACTAAACATCAGAAATTGTACTAGAGTTTTGGATGGAGAGATTGCTTAGGGAAATTACAAGAAAGGGTCATAGCAAAGCATATCTAAAGCATGATGTGATTGTGTACAGTACAACTAGTTCGACTCCTTTAAACGTTTACTTTTATTACAAATTTTTGAAACTACATGGTCAACTTTTGCATTTTAATAAGGCCATAGTTGTCAAAGGTGCGCCTAGGTCTCAAAAATGCCCTAAGCTCATCAAGCCTCACAAAAGCTTCTCACTGTATGCCAGCCCTGGCCCTTCAGTCAGGCCATGTGAAGTCCTTAGGTTAGCACTTTTTAGTAGGCTCTAGGCTCAATAGTGACACGTTTTTTATAATAATCAAATTGTGTCTTTATTCTTACCTTTTAAAATTTTCGATGGTCACTAATTGTTATGCCTTGTCATATTCGCCGTCTTATAGATAGATAATATTGTTTAGTATTTGTAGTCTAGATTTAGGAGGTTGTAACTACTTGAAATAGATATCTCTAATGCTTAATTCTATTGTTAGATTTTAACATTATATTGCAACTAGCTTTTTAATGTTGCAAATTTACAATGGGTATTTAATTTAGTTGATGCATATACCAATTGAAAAGATTTACATGCATGTCGATTTATCTAGTTCTCGTGGTTGATAAGTCCACAAATTCAGCTGGCTGACTGAGCTTGGACCTATACCACACTTCTACTGTATGTATTGAATTCACCCCTTTTTTTTATTTTAAAGAAAATAGAAGAGGAAAAGCCAAATGCTGTGTCATGTGTAAGGGGGTTAGGAAAGTAGTGATCATTTATTTTTGTATTGTCCTTGTCCTATGGCTTTGACCTTGTGGTGGAGCTTGGAGGGAATCGTTTTTATGGCGGGGATGGATCAAGTGATTCCTGACAATTGGTTATGGCTGTTTTGGTCTTAATCCTTAGGCGTAGTGATGTAGGACAGCTTGCTGGATTTCCAGAACAGAGTCTATTTGACGGCCTAAACAGTGGGTAATTTAGGGTTTGAATGGTTAAATTGAAGGCAAAGAGGTAGGGCGAGGGATTAGGGTTGATTTGGAGGTGAGAGGATAGGGTTTTGGTGTTGAGAACTGCACTTTTAGTGGACTGTGAATAGTAACCGCAAATAATAACTCGGGTATGTGCGCAAAGAATAAGAAAGAGAAGAAGAAGAGAGAGAAGAGGTGCCTCACCCGCACAAGGGTTAAGCCAATCACACACAAACACAAGCTCAAATTCTCATACCATCAACAATTCTATTGAATCATTGAGATTATACATATATTTATAGGCAAGGACTCTCTCCCATCAACAAGTTTCCTATAAACCAGAAGAACAACAAGAAGTTTCTTCATGATTTTTTGGCTTAATAATTGAATAACAGAGAGAGTCTTCTACATCAAGTTTCATCACTCTGTCTCTCTCTCGCACTTCATCACTTTCTCTCTCTCTGTTTTTCGTCTCTCTCTTTCTCTGTTTTTTGTCTTTCTCTCTCTCGTCTCTATATTTCTGTTTTGTTTTTTTTCTTTTTCTTTTTATACACCCTAATTAAAGATTTTTTTTTCTTTTTCTTTTTATATTCCCTAATTAAAGATTATAGGCCTATTTGTATTGAAATACCCTTTTTTTAATAACAAACACCCTACTTTTTTTATTTATACCTCATTCTCTCTCTCTCTCTCTCTCTCTTTTCGCCTCTTTATTTTTTCTATTTTTTTGGGTATTCTTGTGTCATTTGTGAATGATATTTGATGTTAAAGTAGTGAAATGTATGTTTTTTTTTAAAAAAAATTTAATGTTATTTTGCATGTTTAATTACCTTCCAATGATTTTTTCTTTTCAATTTTAGACATAATAAATAAATAAAATTGTATTTATTGAACGTGTCCCTAGCATGTCGTGTCCTTCATTTTTTTAAAATTTGCGTGTCCGCGTTGTGTCCGTGTCCGTGCGTCAGAGTGCACGCGTATTGGTTAAGGTCGTGTATTTTGTGCCCCATGAGAATTGAACATAGGACCTCTAGGAATTAACCCCATAGTTGAGCTCCTATGTTCAACCCCTTATGAATCAACTATGTTGGTTTGTGGACTATTTTCCACATTTTTTTTTGGGTGAAGTGAAAAGAAAAAAAAAAGAGATGCATACAATGGATGTGGAAAATAGTCTGAAGCCCGTTTTCTTTCAAAGAGACATGTCGAGTCAACCTCGTAGGTTCTTTCAAGATATATTTAGGTCTAAAGTCCATCCGGTAAAGATGGATGTGTACTAGCAGTCAGCAAATAAAAGCATGTGATTATTTTACAGATCACGTGAAAGAAACCCAGGGATTCTGAATCCTGTGATTTAACTATTGCTAATCTGACAAATTCTCTGATTTCAAGTAGCATGCACAATCTCGTGCCAAGAGATCCAAATATCCAGTGGAATGATTTCATTTGCATGGATATCCATATTGATTCTCATTTAATTTTCTTTAGAATTTGGCCTTTATGATTCTTACAACTGCCAACTTTTGATGATTTCTGTCTCTTTCCTCCCCTCCCTCCCTTCATCCCTCCTCTCTCTCTCTCTCTCTATATATATATATATATATCTATTTGTATTTATGTATTTCAAATAATGTTCAGAAATTCATTTTCATGAGACTTGAAACCAAGCCAATTATTGTGGAGGCGGCCAGTAGGCCACTTGGGGGACCACAACTTCTGATGATGTTACCTTTTACTTAACATGTACACTCCTGGTCACAGTGAAATCAATGGATTTCTCCCTGGTTAGAGTAAAATATTTATTCTTTGCTGCAGTCAAGGTGCGCTTACAGTGGGTCTACCTCCAGCTTGGGTGGATGTATCTGAAGAAATATCAGCAAATGTGCAACGTGTGCGGGTGAAAATTGCTGAACTAGCCAAGGCTCATACCAAGGCTTTAATGCCCTCATTTGGAGATGGAAAAGAAGATCAACGCAGGATTGAGTCTCTTACTCAAGAGATTACCGTTCTTTTAAAAAAGTCTGAGAAGAGATTACAGATACTCTCTGCTGGTGGGCCTTCTGAGGACTCTAATATTAGGAAAAATGTGCAGGTATGTTTTGGTAGATGCTTGTCATTATGTTGTCTGCTGAACAAATTTGTAATTTATCACAGCATGCAAAACTTTGATGACTCAATTTAAGGATTTGCTTTGGTGCCCGCGGTTTGTCATATATTTACTCCACAGTGATAGTGAGGAATCAGGCAAAAGGTCATCTTTTCTTTTTGTTGAACTCCTCCTCCCATGCAGGCAAATTTGAATTTAACTTTGTCAAAATTACTAATTACAGCTAGTCTTATTGTTGTTCTAAGCTGGGTGGTTTCCAGGGTTGTGCATGATGGCATCTATTATGAATCATAAAGTTCTATTGGCTTGTATCTTCACAAAAGGATGGGTCATTCTCATAAGCTGTTTCAATATTTCCTTTGCAGCGCTCTCTCGCCACTGACCTTCAGAGCCTTTCAATGGAACTTCGCAAGAAACAGTCAACTTATTTAAAGCGACTCCAGCAGCAGAAAGAGGTCTGCAGAATTTTCCCTGTTTCATCATTCAGTCGACAAATCATTATTTGACATATTCAGATCAGACAGCTTTGGCTTTGCACTTTACATCTTTGTGTGATTCATTTCTCTCCCTTCTGGTCGTTGAACTTGCTTTGTCTTGCATGATTTACTGTGCTGCTCAACCATGCCCTGCTTTTTTTCATTTATCAGCTGTTAATTGGCATCCACTTTTTCTTTATTTGTTTTCCACTTTCCAATTAGATGAATACTTAGAGGTCCAGGAAGTGAATTCTTCCAAATTTTACTAATATTGCTTTGTGATGTAGGGTCCAGATGGGGTCGACATAGAAATGAACTTAAATGGGAATAATTCCAGAAGAGAAGATGATGACTTGGACGATATGGTAAGCTGACTTTTTACTTCAGTTGTGTAGTTCTTTATATGCTATGAAGCACGGATACTTCAAATAGGGTGATGTATCCGTATCGTATCCGTATCGGATACCGATACTCTTTGGATACTCGCGGATACGTATCGGATACTTATTAAAAGTATCGGATACTTCTTAATTATTTTTTCATTAATTTTGGAGTATCGGATACTTAATTTTGAAGTATCGGATACTCTAAGTCATGTTTACTTGTTTTATGAAATTAGAATTGTAACATTTCTTGCATAGTGATATAATATAATATAATTGCAAGTATAAATATAAGAATATTTTTCTAATACTTTGTTAAGTTCTTCGATAAGAAGAGCATAGTGAGTTAAATAATAGAATTTATCAAATTGATGTATCTTAATTATTTTATGCATGTCCTTATATAACTACATAGAAAGTAAGAATTAATAAAAGAATATAACAATGGTAAAATTAAATATCAATAAATAAATAAGCAAGTAAACTTGAATATAATATTTTTCACTAATGTCAAAGGAAAAAGTATAGGGACAAGTTGTGAATTGTTCTATTATTGTAATATAAATACATTAAACTTGATATTGAAATAAAATATTTGCAAGACCTATTAAAAATTTAAAAAGTAAATAAGCTACTAACTTAAATTAATACAAAATTCTTGAATGTTAGTATTTTGCATTATAAAATTACATTGTGGTTTCTCAATGTTCTTAAGCTTATGTGTAACTCACTATTAATAATTTTAAATAATATATTTTTCACAAATGTATCCTAGCCGTACCGGTATTCTATTTTTTTAGGTTTTGTCGTATCGCCGTATCCGTATCGTGTCGTATTTGTATCTCGTATCCATATCTATGCTTCCTAGTTTATATGTATCTATATGTATTAATGCATATAATGCATATATGTGCGTATATATAGATATGTATGTATAGATGAAGTCTTATGTAATAATATAAAGGATAATTAACTACTTGATAAGCAAAACAAATCAAATTTAGTTAGCCATATGGGTTGGAAATACATAATATGAAGAATCTGTTTTGTTGGGCTTAAAGAACTTAAGCATTCTACTGCTATCTTGTGAGCTGTGTGCTTTTCTTTTTCTTCTCTTTCTTTGTTTTGGTTGAGATCTATGTTACCCGCATGCTTCTAAGTGTGGTGTACCTATGTCACACTCAACACTCGAGTATGGGTATGAGATATGTTTGTGGCATGAGTAGTTGGACATTTAACCAACAAGCATGTTTAGTAATTCAAAATTTCCTTGCAAGTATGCATGAAAATCCCATATAAAGCATGGAATGCTCTGTGCTATATGCTGGAGTCCATGTAACATAGGTTGGGATTGATGGGTACTTGAAATCTCCGCCTCTTAGATAGGGTTGCAACTTTGGCAGGTTTGGCATAGCTAGGATTCCGACTAGGCCTAGCCCAAGTGCACCAGGGCCTGCCTGAGCATGACCAAGCCCAACATGAAGCATGAAGTACACCAGCCCTGGTGAACCTGAGCTCAACATTTAAACTCAGGTTACTCAAGTTGCCGGATTTGGTTGCATTGAGATTTGTCACAATCTTCAACAAAAGATTAGATCAGGGAGGAAAAGAAAAAAAAAATCCATGGACTGATGGATTGAGTTTATCCTCTGAATGTTAAACAATTTATTTCGCCCTATATATACAAATGCAAATGCATATATAATTATACTGAGAATAGAATGTGAGTAATAGTGATGGATGTGTCATGAAAGTCATTGGACTTTGAGAAGAAGTGGGATAAGGTTCAAGGATGTTTGTTGCCACTGGCACAGTGCTGCTAGTAGTGAGGGGAAGACTTGATGTGACACTATTTAGCTTTTAAGTAATATATTAGTTTTTAGAAATTAGAATAAATCTTATGGATGGGGAATTATTGCACCCAAAAATTTGGGGTGTTCTCCACCCTTTGACGGTATTGAACTTTGACATACACAATGTTAGATATATTCCCCTCCCCCACCAGCAAAGCTCTAACATTATCATACAAATTATCTGTTAGGGGTTTAATGAGCATCAAATGGCCAAACTAAGGAAAAGTGAGGCATTCACGGCAGAAAGGGAGAGAGAAATCAACCAGGTAACTGAAAGCTCGTGCACTATTTTGCTCATAATCTGATGCTTCATTTTCAGTTGACCCAAATGAATTTTTCTTTCTTTCCTCTGCTGTTTTGGTTTTGGTTTTGGTAGGTTGTGGAATCAGTACATGAGCTTGCTCAGATTATGAAGGATCTATCAGTGCTCGTCATTGACCAGGTTAGAGAAGCCATGCCTCCTTTCTAAAAGATGAGGAACTTTCTCAAAAGATTTAAGGTGATTAACTGAATTTATGCTCCAAACAGGGCACTATTGTCGATAGGATAGACTACAACATTCAGAATGTTGCAGCATCAGTCGAGGATGGCTTTAAACAGCTGCAGAAGGTCCTCTTGCTCTTCTTTAAGCATTTCCTTTTTTCGCCATTGTATATAATTTAGGTTTAAATTTCTGCGGAGCTTTTGTTCATGCCTCTCATGGTTTTTGGGAAAAATAACATTTTAGTGGTGACTTCAAAAATTAATCACTTTCATGGAAAAGTTTATGGTTTTATCTTTTAATGCTGCAAAGTTTTCATAAATGTGAAAATATTTTTCTTCGTTTCCACTTGAATGATATTTTCCCTAATTTTTTTTCCCAAGGTAATGTCATTTATGTTGGGTTTTGTTGGACTTACAGGCAGAGAAAACACAGAAAGAAGGGGGAATGGTGATGTGTGTTTCAGTTCTCATCATCATGTGCTTTATCATGCTGCTCCTCCTAATTCTCAAGCAAATATTTTTGTGATCAGCGACATTTTTTTATAAATCTCGTTTCAAGTCACCTCACTGCAACTCTCCCCTTCAACTTTTACATACTGAGGTGTGCTGTTTTTTGGAAGTTTTGGGGATTTTGAATCATCCCAGATGGTTACACTACTAGATTAGTTATATTCGATCATAATATTGTTATTACTATTACTTCTGTTTTTAATTGTATTTTTGCGAAGGGGAGCAAGGCGAGGGAGAACGGGATGTATTACTTGTGAGTACTACGGCCTAATGTAAAGAGCTATATTGTAATTGGGTGAGGAGGGTCTTTGTGCACAAAGGACTTGGTATATATTCATTTTGATTACCCTTGGAGATTCTGTAATTTTGTTAAAAATGCTCATTTTTTTTCTGAGGGGAAGAGCACTTTGTACCGATTCTTTCTTGTAATAAAATGGAAAACATCCCATTTCAGTACTGGCACGTTCAAGAGAAACTCCTTGTACGCAAATGAAATTTTTATGAACTATGATATACTCATTTCCAGTTTTTACAGTATCAATTCATAACAATGCTGCGTTGTTCCCGGTATTTAGGAATTAGGACATGCATGCCTTGCATTTGTCTATGATGATTTATAAGGGTGTTTTTATTTACACATCATCTTTCATCTCAAGGCACACTACTACTTAAGGCACACTTTTAGTAATTTAATAAATACAAAATTTGTTCAATATACATCACAATCTTCCATCTTTACCCTTGTTCACACACTCTACTCACATCTTCTATCTTCACCCTTACTCGCACACTCCCACCCACGATCTTCCATCTCCCATTCCATTCTCTGTTTCATCAAAGGCACCGGTGTAAACAACTCTACATTGGAGATACAGTAGGTGAGAATTCTCATTTTACTTAGATTTGAGGGTTTTATGTACATTTTTCCATTGCCATGAGCATTGTATATGAATGTTTGATTTTCTGAATCAGTGGCATTGTATATGGAAGTCTGATTTTGCGAACCGTTTGATACTGGTCTGTTGAACATTAACCTTTTGTCCAGAGTGCTTCTGTCGAACAACTTCAATATGTTCGGCTACAAATAGTCGAACGCAACTACATTGTTCGAATCTGGGTATCCGAATGAATATAAACGGTTTACCACTCAATAAGTACACAAAAACGGGAAAAAAAAAATTAAAAAATGAGAAACTAACATTTTTCTTGCTCTATTGTTCCAAACCAATATTACTAGACACATCCATCATTCAGTCCAATAAAAATCTTTAATAATACATATATTTTTTATTGTTTGTTTAAGGGCTTTTGATTTTTGTTTCAAGGTTTTCGGGTTCTTGAGAGAAAAGATACGTAAGTAACGTTTCAGAAGAAATGAGTGTATTGTATTCATTATTGTTCTTTATGGTAACTTTACGTAAGGTGTGTATTATAATAGTCCAAAGCCCTTTGTCCTTTGTGGTCATTTTACATTAGATTAATATTGTAATAAAAAATAAAATAATAATGTGTCTTGAGATGAAACACTACAAAAAATTTGCTTTTTTGCGACGATAAAATACCGTCGCAAATACTCAAAACGCCGTCTCAAAAGTTTTTTTGCGACGGCGGATGGCTTTTAGCGACGGTAATAAGGGGGTCGCAACAAAGGGGGTTGCCAAAGGCCTTTAGCGACGGTGTGACGCCGTCGCAAAATACAGGAGACAGCGTAAATGCCTTTTAGCGACGGCAAAATACTGTCGCTATTAATGTGTAGAAATTTGAAGTTTTTGAGACGACACTGTGGTGCCGTCGCTAAAATGGTTATTTGCGATGGTAAAAATACCGTCGCTAAAATATTTATTTGAGACCGCAAATTTGCTGTCACTAAAATGGTTATTTGCGACGGTAAAAATACCGTCCCTAAAAATAGTATTTGCGACGGTGAAGGATACCGTCGCCAAAGGATTTTTGTTTCAACTAATTAATAATGCTAGTATCTTTGGCGATGGCTATGCTACTGTTGCAAAAAACCTTTTTTGAGACAGTATGATACCGTCTCAAAAAAAAAAAAAAAAAAAAAAAAATTCTTAAAAATATGAAAATCACCTGTATTAAATGAAAATAACTAAAAAAAAAACTGATAATTATATAATAATATAAAAATTCCTATATATAAATAAAAATTCATCCATAATTAAAGTATTCTTCAATTCATAATAACACATCATCAAAATTATCCCACCACATAATGTTGCATAATACATACATAATGTTGTTTACAAATCTAAATAACGTAAATCAAAAATAAAGTTTTCGTCATGATTCTTCCGTGGGTTACAAAAACAAAAGTTTGTCGTAATCTTCACACGCCTGCATTCCACAAGAAGCAAACTGCTACTCAGGAAATATCTGAAAATAAAAAATAAAGATAATTAATGACAATATAATTATGTGTTAATATTTTAATTACAAAAAAAACATAAAAAATTAACTACTATATAATTACAAAGATAGTTAAGTAAATAATTTTAGCTAGACAGAAATTCGACCCTAACTCCCAAACCAGGAACCTGATTCGAGCCCCGTCTTCTCCCACAAGTCTCTCGTGCCTAGGCGGTCGTGTGTGCCAAGTTTCGTACTAATCCGACCCCATTTGGTGATTTTGGGGCGTTAACACCTCAAATTCAAGTTTCTTAAAGAACTAGTTTGCCTAGACTGAAATATGGCTCCAACTCCCAAACCGGGAACACGATTGGAGTCGCGTCTTCTCCCACAAGTCTCTCGTACCTAGGCGGTCGTGTGTGCCAAGTTTCGTGCCAGTCCGACCCCTTTTGGTGATTTTGGGGCGTTAACACCTCGAATTCAAGTTTCTTAAGGAACTAATTTGCCTAGACCGAAATACGGGTCTAACTCCCAAACCGGGAACCCGATTGGAGTCCCGTTTTCTCCCACAAATCTCTCGTGCCTAGGCGGTCGTGTGTGCCAAGTTTCGTACCAATCCAACCCCGTTTGGTTGTTTGGGGCGTCAACACCTCAAATTCAAGTTTCTTAAGGAACTAGTTTGCCTAGACCGAAATACGGCTCTAACTCCCAAATTGGGAACCCGATTCGAGTCCCGTCTTCTCCCACAAGTCTTTCGTGCCTAGGTGGTCGTGTGTGCCAAGTTTCATGCTAAACCGACCCCTTTTGGTGATTTTGGGGCGTTAACACCTCGAATTCAAGTTTCTTAAATAACTAGTTTGCCTAGACCGAAATACGGGTCTAACTCCCAAACCGGGAACCCGATTGGAGTCCTGTCTTCTCCCACAAATCTCTCGTGCCTAGGCGGTCGTGTGTGCCAAGTTTCGTACCAATCCAACCCCTTTTGGTTGTTTGGGGCGTCAACACCTCAAATTCAAGTTTCTTAAGGAACTAGTTTGCCTAGACCGAAATACGACTCTAACTCCCAAACCGGGAACCCGATTCGAGTCCCGTCTTCTCCCACAAGTCTCTCGTGCCTAGGTGGTCGTGTGTGCCAAGTTTCGTGCTAAACCGACCCCTTTTGGTGATTTTGGGGCGTTAACACATCGAATTCAAGTTTCTTAAAGAACTAGTTTGCCTAGACCGAAATACGGGTCTAACTCCCAAACCGGGAACCCGATTGGAGTCTCGTCTTCTCTCACAATTCTCTCGTGCCTAGGCGGTTGTGTGTGCCAAGTTTCGTGCTAAACCGACTCTTTTTGGTGATTTTGGGGCGTTAACACCTCGAATTCAAGTTTCTTAAGGAACTAGTTTGTCTAGACCGAAATACGGGTCTAACTCCCAAACCGAGAACCCGATTAGAGTCCCTTCTTCTCCCATAATTCTCTCGTGCCTAGGCGGTCGTGTGTGCCAATTTTCGTGCTAAACCGACTCTTTTTGGTGATTTTGGGGCGTTAACACCTCAAATTCAAGTTTATTAAGAAACTAGTTTGCCTAGACCGAAATACGAGTCTAACTCCCAAACCGGGAACTCGATTGGAGTCCCGTCTTCTCCCACAATTCTCTCGTGCCTAAGCAGTCGTGTGTGCCAAGTTTCGTGCTAAATTGACCCCTTTTGGTGATTTTGGGGCGTTAACACATCGAATTCAAGTTTCTTAAGGAACTAGTTTGCCTAGATCGAAATACGGGTCTAACTCCCAAACCGGGAACCCGATTGGAGTCCCGTCTTCTCCCACAATCCTCTCGTGCCTAGGCGGTCGTGTGTGCCAAGTTTCGTGCTAAACCAACTCCTTTTGGTGATTTTGGGGCGTTAACACTTCAAATTCAAGTTTCTTAAGAAACTAGTTTGCCTAGACCGAAATACGAGTCTAACTCCCAAACCGGGAACTCGATTGGAGTCCCGTCTTCTCCCACAATTCTCTCGTGCCTAGGCGGTCGTGTGTGCCAAGTTTCGTGCCAATCCGACCCCGTTTGGTGATTTTGGGGCGTCAACACCTCGAATTCAAGTTTTTTAAGGAACTAGTTTGTCTAGACTGAAATACGACTCTAACTCTCAAACCGGGAACCCGATTCGAGTCCTGTCTTCTCCCACAAGTCTCTCGAGATGAAATTGGTGTGTAAATAAAGGCTCCCGATTTATAAGGATGTAAAAAGTGTGTTTATAGACTATTGGGACCTTAATCAGGACCTTGATGATCACAATTTGTCAAAATAAGTTTTTATTGCTAAATTTTCATGTAAAGATATTAGGAGATAATCTTCAAAATCACATCAGATATGTTAGGAGGGAAGCATGTTGCAGTAGCGCTGGGCTCAACCAGAGGGGTGGGATTGAACTGGGATATGTGACCACGGCGTGGTGGCCTAGTGGAGAATGTATTTTTTTTTTATAGGCGTGACTCAGGTTTGAATTTTGGGGTAGCAAAATGTTAGGTAATTTCAGTGATTCTTTGCAGAGATCTTGCTCTATACTTCAATAGAATCTTGGGTTCATTTGCGGTGTGTGGTTGAGTTTCATTGGTGCCTTGGTAGTGGGTTCCTTCTTATGGGTTGGGTTAAAGCAGGCCGGTAATCGTCTGAGGCTTGGGCTCACAAATGCGACAATGACACCTTAGAGCATCCTTTTTTCTTGTTCAAAAAAAGAAAAAAGAAAAAAGAAAAAACTTGGTTGGCCGGATTATTAGTTGCGATTAGACTATTATTTTTTTGGATAAATTACAAATACTCCCTGAGATTTGAATAAAATACAAATCGTTTCCTGTAGTTCTGAAAATTATATTCCACCCCTTGAGATTTCTAATTTAATAACAAATCGTTCCTTTTATTAATAAGTCATTAAGTCAATTAACAGTTTTTAATGATGTTAGAAACATGTTTCAATTAATAATTTAGATAATTTTATCATTGTATAAGAGAACAATTATGAATTTTATTTTTTTAGGTAATTCTGTTAAATAAAATTTTTTAACAAGGAGGTATTTGTAATTTTTTAAACCACAGAAGACAATCTGTGCTTTAAGTAAATATGAGAAAGTGTACTTATAATTTATCTTAATTTTTCATATGAATAACCTATCGTCTTTCCTTTAC